CTTACACTTTATATATTCTGGCTTACACTTTATATACACTGGCTTACACCATATATACACTGGCTTACACCTTATATACTCTGGCTTACACCTTATATACACTGGCTTACACTTTATATACACACTGGCTTACACCTTATAAACTATTGCTTACACTTAATATACACTGGCTTACACCTTATATTCTCTGGCTTACACATCATATACACTGACTTACACTTTATATACACTGGCTTACACCTTATATACTCTGGCTTACACTTAATATACACTTGCTTACACGTTATATACACTGGCTTACACTTTATACATCTTGTTAATACAATTTTAAAATTATGTGTTTTTTTGTTGTTGCTTGAATGCTGTGCATCACAACTGTTTTAGAAGAAAATAGGTTTTGAATAGAAATTACTATGAAATCACTAATTTTAGTGGTTTTTTTAAGTCTCTTGCTTTCGTGGGTTACAAATCTTCCTCAAAGAATTCATAGATCCCGAAAGTAATTACAAGTTTGATATAAAGCAATTCTTCATTTGAGAAGGAACTAGTAATCCACAATTTCATAATTTCATGTATCCTGGAAATGGTGTCTTGTCGGGAAACCACAAAACTTGGGCCCCACAAAAATACGTGATTTTCACACAATGCTTTGTTTTTTTTAAATAGAAATCCTGTCCAGTATAATAGCATCATTCAACTAAATCTCCATCACCAAAGTGCAGTGTGTAACAGGAAAAAGAGTAGTGTGCTTCGACCAGGATCAAACCTGCAACCCCCAGCTTCCCAGTCTGACGCTCTACCACCGAGCTAAAAGGAAATTACCTCTGGAGTGAAGTTAGAAGGCGACCCTTAATCCTATGTACAATTAATCCCACTGCCACACTACTACCCCATTTCTAAATGTGTTTGCCAAGGAAAACCACTACAACCCAGGTTCTAACTCCCTGTCTCCACAGGGAGGACCACGGACACCATTTGTAACAGGAGAGAGAGTGGTGTGCTTCCACCTAGGATCGAACCCGAAATCCAAGACTTTCAAGTTAGACTAAGCTAAAAGGAAATTATCTCTAGCTAGAAGGCGATCATAATTCTTAATATACAATTCAAATCTGCTACAGTAGAATACGTACATTCCAGTTCACCTAAAACAGCGCAGATGTCCTTGCGTTTGTCTGTGAGGATCTCTAGCGTGTAACAGATCTTCTCCAGGTATTGCTCGGGGGGACTCAGGCCCTGTCACATAAAACATGTACATTTTTGTTAAGTCAACCCTATTAGTTGTACTTCTATAAAAATTCAATTTACAATGATTTTTTACTATAAACTGGCTGAAAGAGTTTTAATACATGTCCTTTAAATACAAAAGCTAAAACTGTATATGCATGTCTTGTGTATTAAAACAGAAGAACTTTCGTCACATGATCACTCATACAGAACGGCTATTCCCGGTATTTACTTCCCTGTAAAGTAGATTATATCCCTTGTCACAGTAGCTAATAGCTTCTACACCCCTGAAGATACATTTGAACTCTTCCAATTAAAAGGTTGGAATAGTTCATTATGAAATTTCAGGGGTGAATGAGTTAATGTCCCATGCTACTGATGATTATCAGTTGATATAGTAAAATGTTGATCTCCCTCGTAAATTTGTATCTCCTTTTTCACTCAGGATTATCTCCCTTGTTCCTAGATATATCTCCTTTGCTACAGTCTTATACATATATCCCTTATCCCCTTCATCACTTACGATTTTTTCTGGGTCTTGTCCCCGACTGATGACAATCAGGTCATGAAACATGTTGATTTCGTGTTTTCCCCACTGTGGCATCTCAGACTGGGGTAGAGGCATTCCAGTTCTCGGGGACAACGGCCGCACCCGTTCATATCGCGGAGTCTGTGTCTCCACGATATTACTGAATATCCTTTCATAAAACGGCAGGCGGTCCATACTGTAACGACACAGGGTTGTTAATGAGGGATGATATACACAGAAATAGCTAATCAACATACTTGAGCTATCTGTACCGTTATGCCTTCCAGCAAGATTGAATTAAAGCACATGGGGAAGCGTTTGTCCTATGCCAATAAAACATACATTTGACCCATGCTAATTTGCATTGTAATGTTGATTATGTTGTTTACTAATGTTCGCTGTAAAGACAAATTTGCCCTCATTACAGAGAGTGAAAAAGCTGAAAGTAAAACTGCGGTGAAAATAGCCTGGTGTTCAGTATTTGTATACTGTATAGAGTTTGGATCTAATCAGTGGTATTATCTTCATCCTACAATGGGAACAAAACACGATTTCAGATCAAGAACATCATTGCTGGCATGTACTAGATATATCTGAATTAAGAAGTTACAATATTCTTTGTTTTATCAAAGGTTAGGCCCCAAATTGGTTTCTCAGGTCATAATTTTTGCATATTACCCCAGAGAAAATGTTTTTATGCCCCCGCCATAAAATGGGGGGCATATAGTGTTGCTCATGTCCGTCCCGTCCTGATTCAATGTAAACACTTAGCAACTTTATTCTTTCTCAGATTTTCGTCAAACTTTCTACAAAGGTCAAGTAAGAGTATATGTCGGACATCCTCATGTTTCAGGGTTCCAAGGTCAAGGCCAAGGTCACGATTGCTATATAAGGGGGCATTCATGTCTTCCAGACATTTTTCTAGTTTTGTGAATATTTGTTTACATTTTCAGTCATGTGATAGAACTAATCTTAAGTTTGTTTCCATCTTATAAGACATTATGAAAATCCTACAAAAGATTTCCTTTTGAGCAGCTTTGGACTCATTTTATAATTCTCATATGAAATGAAAACTCAATTAAGATCCATATTGTGTTACTGGTAGATTACGTACTGTATAATGCAGTATTTTGTGAGAAAGTCCAACGGATCTGTCATATCACTGAGCTCCTCTTTGGTAACTGGCGCCTCAGCAGACGGCACACGGCCCTTCTTCTTCGGTAGGGTTCTTAGTCTATAAATATAAATATTTAACAGTACTCAAATTTCATTCACTAAAATTTAAAAAAATAAGAAAAAAATAATTCAGTACAAATTCTAAATTATAACCAGAAAACAGTCGAACCCTATATACGTACACCGATTTCTTTGGTCCTTTAAGTGTTGGTGGGGGAGGGAGCTTGGCCTCCTTGAGTTTAGGGATGGGCTTGATGAGGGTCCGTTTATTCTCCTTGAGCTTAACATCCTGGAACATAACGAAAACCTGAATATGTCAGTCCAAATTTAAAAAAAGATGTTTCCTACAACCCATATTTTTATTTTAATGTGTAAACCCTTAAGGTAGAAGGGAACACTGCACCATTATAATTGCAAAGAAGAGTTCCATTTCAGAGCTGTTCTGTTCACTTGAAGTATTCCCCCTTATATAGACGAAAAACAAGCAGAATGATTTTCTGGCTTACAGTTACTTCCCTTATCAAGGTATTCATCCCGCATTTTGATGCTGTGCAATTATAGCTCCTGGATTGATGGTATATCGGTTTTGAGTTTGATGACTGTCACCTTTTTTGTTTTTACTTTCTTTCTTAATATTCAAATTTGAACAAGTTAAATGTATCGCAAAGGGGGTAGCACCTAATATGGAATATGCCACTTCTAATGATCAACTTAACAGAACAGCTAAGACCTTGCTTCTATAGATCTTTGGTACCTTTTTCTCTTCCACATATTCTGGAAGTGGGGGTATTTCAATGGGAGGTAATTCTGGTGACTCCCTATGTCCATTGGTAAGGGGAGGTAACTCATCTGTACTATCGATAAGCGTGACCTCCGTCTCCTCCTCCACTTGCACTTGAGAAAAGTCATTGCTCTCAGTCTACAATCAAAAAGAAATATATTCTCTACTGAATATTTCGTCGGTCTATCCAGTGAAACTGCTATGATTTACGAGTTTACACCAAATCTGCACAGGAATGATTGATATTTGAATATTTAAACTCTCAATTGACTTATCTTCGTCTTGGTTCATCCCACCCAAAGTTATAACCTTTTCATCCCGCAGATCACAAACACACATATGGGTATTGGAAAATACAATAGTCTGAATCAAAATGTTATTGTTGTTCACAATAGTACAACAGCTACAGTTCTGTTTCTCAATAACTCAACCCTGACAGGTGCTGGAGTTGATTCTCAATAACTCAACCCTGACAGGTGCTTGTTCTGTTTCTCAGTAACTCAACCCTGACAGGTGCTTGAATTGATTCTCAGTAACTCAACCCTGACAGGTGCTTGAGTTGATCAATTGTTAAGATTAAAGCACTTTCTTGTAATATTTTCTTTTCCTTATAAGAACAATAGTCTGCACTTCAATGATTTGATCCTTGAAGAGTTATCTGTATAACTTACTTCCTTATTGAATAGAACTATGAGAAACACATGAAACGAGATGTACCACATGCTAGTGAACTCCCCCACTAAACATGTGTGATAATTAAATGTCAATTCAATGTTGACACTTGCTAAAATGCTGTATAACAGGAAATTTTTGCCCTTTGATGGCAAAATCCATTTTCCCCAATATCAAATTTGTCCTTCTCATGTAATTTCTATGTATATCGTGTTGTTCACTAATGTTCGCTGTAATAATGAAAGCCATCATCACGGAGGGTAAAAAGACAAAAATTAAAACTGCAGCAAACATGTCCCAGTATACATTACTTTGTATGAATACCCTAGCAACTGCTTGAGTGTTATATCAACCTATACTATTTGAACCCCAGTAGTTTGACTCAATGACCTCAGTAATTTGGTATAATGACCTATCAGTTTATTGGCTGTAACAAAGTTATTTGACCTTTGAGCTCCTTACTGCAAACATAAGCAATTTGACCTTTTGACCTACCCTGTCTCCATTGACCAGTTGTCTTTTCTCTGCTTTCTCTGTGTCCTTGACCTCTCGTCTGACCTTCTTGACCTTTTCTTTTTTAACTGGTGGGGGTCTCTCTGTAATAGGAGGTATCACAGGTGGGGTCGTGACCTTTGACCCGGCATTGACCTTTGACCCAGCAGTAAACTTTGACCAGGTCAGGACATCTGGTGCCAAACTGAGAGGACTACTACTAAGGGGAGGTGACTCTAAGTCTAAAGACGAAGAGAAGCAGAAAGAAAACCCACACCAGATTATAGCAAGCACTACACTGCAAATAAAACACTAAATACAAAATGTGCAAACACAGCAACAAATATGTATACATGTATAAACAAAGAAATATATACAGCCAAATCTGCTCAAGCGACCATCTGTATTAAACGACCATCTGTTTTATGCGACCACTTTCCATTCCTCCCGACCGTTTTTTACTATGTAATTTAACTGTATTAAGCGACCATCTGTCTAAAGCGACCAGCAACCACCCAATACTGGCCCCAAAATTACGTTAAACGACCACACTTAATACATTTTAGCAAACGTCCGTCACCACATTTGACTAAGGGCTACTTTACAATCTTTTCACCAAGTTCAGTGAACAAATTTGACAAAACCAATTTCCAAACTTACAATAAATTCATTGATGTGCAGAAACAAATAAAAGTTATTTTTCTAACTGCCGATATTGTTGATTTAGCAGTGAAATACGGACTGATATTTATTGCAGTTGAGCAAAACCATTTTGATTGCGTAAGTGTCCTGCTAGGCAATGTAACCTTTAACCCTACGATATCCTCCATCTGATTGGATGAGGTAAACTGGCAAGTTTTCATTCTTGAAATCGGGTCTGTTTAGAGATGTTCACGACAGCACTCTCGTGCAAAATTAACATTAAATATCAGCGCAACTGCGCACTAAACCTGTTTATGTTAGTACACATATCGTTTCTAACTCCTCATCAATATAAAAGTACATACAAGTGTAAACAAAACACTAAATACAAAATGTGCAAACACAGCAATAAATATGTATACATGCGCAAACAAACAAAGAAATATATACATACAAGTGTAAACAAAACAATGAAATACATGTGTATCAGTCAAGCAAATACTGAACTAATCGTAATGATCCTGCAATAAGCCCGGGGGTCATTTCAAGAAATGTGGGATCAGAAGTTGGCAAAAAACTCAATACTACATTAGAAAATGAATTAGGGCCCCCTGAAAAGATTGGTGGGCTTATTACCAGGCATGGGCCTATTGCTGAATAATTACGGTATGGTATCATTAAGCTAATGAGGCATGATGCAACAGGATCCTGGAATTAGACCGGCAATCTAGTAGGGCTGGAATGATACATTAACAGGATTAACAATCTAGTAGGGCTGCAACGATCTATATACTTATCTAGTAGGGCTGGAACGATACATTAACATGATTAACAATCTAGTAGGGCTGAACGATAAATTAACATGATTAACAATCTAGTAGGGCTGCAATGATACATTAACATGATTAACACTCTAGTAGGGCTGGAACGATACATTAACATGATTTACAATCTAGTAGAGCTGAACGATACATCAACATGATTACAAATCTAGTAGGGCTGAACGATACATTAACATGGTTAACAATCTAGTAGGGCTGAACGATACATTAACATTATTTTCAATCTAGTAGAGCTGAACGATACATCAACATGATTAACAATCTAGTAGAGCTGGAACGATACATTAACATGATTAACACTCTAGTAGGGCTGGAACGATACATTAACATGATTTACAATCTAGTAGAGCTGAACGATACATCAACATGATTAACAATCTAGTAGGGCTGAACGATAAATTAACATGATTAACAATCTAGTAGGGCTGGACCGATACATTAACAGGATTAACAATCTAGTAGGGCTGGAACGATTCATTAACATGATTAACAATCTAGTAGGGCTGGACCGATACATTAACAGGATTAACAATCTAGTAGGGCTGAACGATAAATTAACATGATTAACAATCTAGTAGGGCTGGAAGGATACATTAACATGATTAACAATCAGGTAGGGCTGAACGATACATTAACATGATTTACAATCTAGTAGAGCTGAACGATACATCACCATGATTAACAATCTAGTAGGGCTGAACGATACATTAACATGATTTACAATCTAGTAGAGCTGAACGATACATCAACATGATTAACAATCTAGTAGGGCTGAACGATACATCAACATGATTAACAATCTAGTAGGGCTGCAACGATACATTAACATGACGAGACCTATCATGATACGTAGCACGATACATACATGTATAGTAACTGTAGAAGCAGAGTGAAAAGATACGTTGTAAATTTAATGCCAATATTCCAACAGGAAAAAAACTTGGTCCAAAAGGGGCATGACTTTCAAGTTTCCCACAATTCACGTCTTTTGACGTGCATGTCGAGCTGGAGCTGTCACTCGCCATGTGCAAACGGATATCAGTAGGGAAAATTCAGAAACGACAATTCCAGAAAAAATCTTGACCTCCCAAAAAATATTGTGTAACGTACCGTATTCAAAATATATAATCGCACGATATATGGTTGCAGCCCTACGATCTAGCTTCAACAAAGGTAGATACATGCTGTTATTAGATCATGCAAAAAGAGAAACAGGTCTAAAGCATTAAGTCTAGTGTCAAGGGTCAAGGGTCAACATCCAGGGTCAAGGTCACAATGCCAGAAAACAGATGCAGGCAAAGAATGACAAGTTAACAAAATATATCTAATTCAATTAGACCATAATTATTATGAAGCTATATTACATATCAACCTTTAATATTTCAATATCTATTTCAATTAAGCAGTAAAATTTATTGAGTATAATTAATATTGATTATCTTTATTTTCTTTTGAACACTCAGTGATATTATAAATGAATATGAAAAAATAACCATGCACAAGATGATTGTTAAAAACACATTGTTTTTATTGAATTTAAGCAAAATTTGTTTTGTGTAAAAGTGTTGAGTTTTTATTTCTATTATCATGTTGAAATAAATGTGAAATTAATAATGGAAAAAGAATTGACGTACCTGTTGCTATTCGCTGAGAGGAAGGAGTAGAGACCAACTCTGTAATAAACAACAAGAACCAATTCATGTGTTAATTTCTAAAGATTTCAATGGATATTAATGAAATGTGCAAAACAAAGCACTTACGAGTACATGCAGTGGAGAATATTTTATTTTAAAACCAATAAACATATTTAATATAATTTATTGCATAAATGCTGCCTCAACACTAATCACGTCGTACAAAATTTGTGCAGTGTCATATTCTTGGGTGAAAAAATCTGCAATGAAAAGTTGTTATTCTCTTTGGGGAGGTAACTCTTTGAAACACTTTGAGGGTGGCATGTCACAAAATTGTTTTTTTCCCTTGTTAACATTAAAGTGAGTTTGTGTTTCATGAATTATATTGTTTCAAAATGTTCATATAATGAAATTTTTATTTGAAATCAGTATCATTATGAATTCATGTAAAAATCACACAAGAATTTGATTTGATTAAGGCTTCATGTTTATCTAACTAATGCACATGTAGAAAACCACTTCTGGCTATCAATTGAATTGTGGTGATACAAAAATACATTACTAAGATCTGAAATAAAATAATAAAAAAGTTTTCTTTTTTAATTTTAAAACATTGAAGAACAAAAATCTCCACCAGAAAATGTGAATTAATAAACACGCATGTCATAAAAACTAAAACAAAGAAACATAAACCCATCCTTCATATCCCTGATTAGACCTTCACCATTCATTATGTTATGTAATCAGGCTAAACCATATTTTATTTTACAGGAACTTTCTTAATCAAATAAAAGCAAACAGTCAGCAGGGCTAATAAATACCCCTCTAATCAACTTATAATAATCACATTTCTAGGTCTGGATGGAAGTATATATGTTGGGGGTCTTAATGTGGAAGGAAACCGGAGTACCCAGAGAACAGCCATGTGGTTGGGCAGGTGACCCAATGTGAAAAACCAGTGCAGTGGGACAGGGTTCGTTGTATAATATTCAGCATTTCAGAAGTCATAGCCAAGATAATAAACAAATATAAAATGTACTACAACATATACCATTACCACTACTATTTTTTGTTCGGGTATAATAAAATTGAGGTTTCTCTTGTGAAACCAATTTCTATTATAAATACTTACCACAGTCATCTTTACATACGTAAATAAAGAATTCCCCCCCCCCCCCCCCCCCATGGGGAACCCCTGGAAAACCCACCAATCAGACGGCAGTATACATGCATGTGATAAGACACGAAGCCATGCTTCCCACTTCATAATTCCAAAGCCCAAAAAAGTGAGAGCCAAGGAGACAAGGGGAGGCTGGGAGGGAACTCACCTTATGACTGTGGTAAGTATTTATAATAGAAATTGGTTTCACAAGAGAAACCTCAATTCTATTTCAAAATACGTTACCACAGTCATTATAATGCGAATTCAACTTACCGCAGTGGTGTCTCCGTGGAGCGACGAAGGGTTCCAACAATAGGACCCATACCCCCGGAGGAAAAATTCAAAATACCTTTTCTTTTGTGACACAGAGCCTGATTACGACCAGCGTTCAGGATCACGCGGAGAAGACATAATGAGGGTTATGCAAAAGAAGAGGGAGGACAGACAACGGATTGGGCAGCCACAAGAGGGCCCAAAGAATACAACCCGTCAGACTGTCCCGACAAAGATCGGAGATAGAACTCCGTAAACGTAGAATGACCCCTCCAAACAGCAGCTGTCATGACCTCAGCGTAAGAAGAACCATTAAATAAGGCCCACGAAGCAGCTAAAGGGCGAACCTCATGAGCCCTAACCCCTGACACCCGCAAGGACTGATCCCCTGCTGACTCATACGCAGCTCGAACAGTCTTAACAATCCAGCGTGAAATGGTCGCCGAAGAGATATCGGAGCGACCGGGCTGGAGAGACTGGAACAGCCGAGACGAGTGTCCCGCCCCCCCTCTGTTCTGGCCAAGTGGTAACGCAAGGCCCGAACTGGGCAGAGCAGGCGATCAGGAAAATCCCCATCCAGAGTTGAAGCCAAAGAAGAGATAACCACAAGCCCTGGGGTGAAATCGGGAACCTGGTTCTTAGCTAAAAAGGAGGGATCAGTGGTCACTGAGACCGAAGAATGGCCAGCTGAAAAACGAAGGCAAGAAGGAGATCTGCTGAAAGCAAGAATCTCGCCCTCTACAAGGAATCTAGCACAAGTGCTAAATTCCACCTAGGGACCAATTGCCGTGAACGAGGCTTCTCAATGTAGAAGCCCCTAATGAGAGCAGACAATGAAGCGTCCGAGCCCACAGACTTGCTACCATAGAAAGCCAGCACACTAGCAATGGCTGAACGATAGCCTGCAATAATTCCCGGAGACAGACCTTTGTCCTGGAACAGAGACAAAAGAAAGTCGGCTACAACGGGAACAGAGGCAGAGACTGGATCAATCGACCGTCCGACACACCAATCACCGAAGGCGGACCATTGAGATTGGTAGACGGCGGAAGACGAAGGTCTAAGTGATCCTCGAGAAAAGCCTGTCTGAGTGAGCCTTCCCGAGATAGCATCGAACCGTGAAGGTGGAGCCGTTCTGGTCCCGAGTAGAACTGCCGGGACCTCGGTTGAGACAGCAGATCCCACAGGGGTGGGATGCTGCGCGGGAAGTCCACCGAAAGCCGAAGCAACAGAGGAAACCAAGGTTGTCGAGGCCAGAGCGGTGCAACCAGCAACACAGTACAAGGGTGTAGAAGAATCTTCTCCAACACCTTGCCCACCAGATTGAAGGGAGGAAACGCATACGCGTACATTCCCGACCAGTCCTGGGATAGAGCATCCACCGCCATGGCCATAGGATCTGGAACCTGAGACACAAACGTAGGGAGTCGAAAGTTCAGGGCCATGGCGAACAGATCCACATGGGGTCTGTCCCAAACCAGGCAAAGAGACCAGAACACCGAACGCTTGAGGATCCATTCGGTGAGAACCGGGCCCCCGAGACCGAGACAGAGTGTCGGCCAGAACATTCAGACCGTGAGATCGAGACTGATCTCCTGACACAGCAACAGGACCTGGGTGGATAAAGCACACAGAGCCGGGGAACGAGTGCCCCCCTGGCGCTGCAGATAAGCCACCACAGTGGAGTTGTCTGTCGCCAAACAAATGGCAAACAGAACAGCACGCATTTCCAGAACATTGATGTGTTGTGAAAGCTGTTCCCCCGACCACACCCGCTGACGTCTGACTGGAAAGGTATGCACCCCAACCGGTCATGGACGCGTCGGTGTAAAGGATCATAGCAGGAGATGCCCGAACCAGAGGAACTCCTGCCAAGACATTGCCCTCGAGAGTCCACCAACGAGCTGATTCCTTCACCGACTCCGGCAGAGGAATGTACACATCCCACTGCCGAGACAACGGAGACCAAACTGACAGAAGGAACAGCTGGAGCGGACGGATGTGAAGCCGACCCAAGGGAACCACATCCGCCAGTGAATTCAGGTAACCGACTAGAACGGAGACCAACAGAGAGGCCTTCTTAAACTTGGACGCTGGTGGAAGGACAAACCTCAGATAACAAAATCCTGGGAGGGGAGAACCTCCGACTTCTCCCTGGAAGGGATGAACCCTAGGCGGCACAAAACACCCAGAACTGACCTCGTGCTCTGGGACAGGATAACTGGATCAACTTCCCTTCGCGATCATGGCCTGAACCTCCGACCTGAGAGCCTCCACCTTTCCCGGATACGAAGGAGAAGGGGAAAAGATAGGCTCTCGCGCCAGAGGTGGATCCCGAAGGAGCGGGATGCCGAGACCCTTGGACACAACCCCTATGGCCCACCTGTCTGATGTGATTTCTTTCCACTGAGGAACGAAATGGGACAGCCGACCGCCTACTGGCAAGTCCGGAAGGGGCCAATCTAGCCCTTCTCAAACCACATCGGCGGAGCCTCCCGACAACCGGTAGGCAACAACAAGGTGTGACATGGCAGCCGACAGTAAGGCCATCTCATCAAGATGTGCCTTGCAAATTGCCTGGCTGAGGCGCTCCATCAGTCCAACCTTGCTGGGGAGCTGCTCCACTGACTTGCAGCTCGCAGCCAGCAACGCAGAAGTAAACCAGTCTGCGTAGGACAGAACATGGAGAGCCAGCCTAAGGAGACGCTCCAACTTAGAGTGCTCCCTAGGCCCCATCACAACCTGGTCAACACAGCGTCCTGGCCACTTATCCAGATCCCTCTCAAGGGAAACTGAATTAGGGGCCAAGACTGGGTCGTGGATGCGGTACGTATCTGCAGCTAAATCTGCGATATCAGCAACCATGACCTGTAAAGCCGAGAGGGAAAAAGGCCTGCGAGCCTTGCTCACCTTCTGCTTAAATAAGGCGTTGACCTGAGCGAGGGACGAAAGGAGCTAGCAGAGGCCGAGGAGGCAGATGATAGGGGAGTCAACATGCTCTGAAGGAGCGAAGTGCGCTCCGGGACGGCCGAATCCGAGGAAGGGCGTGGGCAAACCCCGTCCCCCAGAAGCTTCATAACTTCTGCACGTAAAGTGCGAAACGAAGCTGAAACCTTTGGAGGCACCGGATCAGCATCTCGGGGCCGGGATTGGGAAACATCGGAAGGGCCTTCCGAGTCCAACCCAGACGAATCCAACGACTCCAAATCAGAGTCAGAAAACTCGCCGACTCTATCCTCATCCCGAGTCTCCGAAAAATTGGAGCAACCGGGAGAGCGCCCAAGACCGTCCGTCTCATCACTAGGAGAGGCACCTGCCGAATCCACCTCCATCAACGTCACCCTCTGAGGAGGGGTGCGAAGAGGGGAAAGAAAACGTGACCTACCCAAAGGAACTATCGGGGAAAGCGATAGTCCCTGAGAGACAGCAGGAGCAGGATCAAGAGACCCTGGAACCTGCTGTAAGGTAGGAGTTGACACAGGACAGCGGAAGTTACTGGAAGACTTGAATTCCAAAATAGGAGCTCGAGACAACGCAGCACAACATATCCAGGCTGGAAACCCATACCACCCCGGAAAAGCCCCCTGCTGGGAGAAACCCCAAG